CCGTCAACCCACCGCGGGCGGTGCCGGCAGCGCCGCTGTCAACCCATTCTACGTCTCGACTCCGGAAGCCTGCCTGCGCGATGCCCTTCATGCGGCCAACGCAGAGCTGCAGGTCTCCTACGAGCCGGGGATCACGAGCAGCCTGCGCCCGCCTTTACTGGGAAAGCTCTTGACTGTCCCCGACGGGTCCCGGAACGGCTGGCAAGTTAGCTTCTTTGAAGGCCATGCGCTGGAGGGTCCGGTGGTAGCGTCCAGTATGTGGGACGACTCGCTCCTCTATCTATTTAGTGATGGTGATGTCCCGGCCGTGTTGGACGACCGGCCATACTCCTACCGTGCCATCGGGGTGGTCACTCCGCAAGAGTCAGGTCGCTATACCTGGAGCCTGGCAAATACTGGGAAAGCCAAGCTCTTTGTTGATGACGAGTTGTTAATCGACAACACGGAGTGGACTGGTCTGACGGGCGGATTTCTGGGCTGCTCTAGCGCAGATAAGACAGCCAGCGTCTATCTGGAAGCGGGCCGCGCCTACCAGCTGCGGGTGGACAACGTGGTCACGCTGCCAGTGGTAGAGGCATTTGACAACACGCTATTCCCGCGGATCTCCGGGATGCGAGTTGGCCTGGCCTTGGAGCAGGACGAGCAGGAAATGCTGGCGCAGGCCGTGGCGGCCGCCCGGCAGGCCGATGTGGCCGTGGTGGTGGTGGGCCACAACAAGGATTCGGAGGGCGAAGGAGGCGACCGCGCAACGATGCAGCTTCCCGGTCGCACGGACGAGATGATCGGCGCTGTCTGTGCCGCTAATCCCAAGACCGTCGTGGTTGTGCAGTCGGCCAGCGCCGTGGCCATGCCGTGGGTCGATGCTGCCTCGGGGCTGGTGATGGCCTGGTATCAGGGGCAGGAAAATGGGCATGCTTTGGCAGCCGCTCTGCTCGGCGACTGCGACTTCAGCGGTCGACTCCCCATTACCTTCCCTCGACGGCTCGAAGACCATGGCTCCAACGCCTGGTTCCCGGGAGAGGCTGCGCAGGACCGCAACACCTTTGGGGAAGGGGTGCGTGTCGGGTACCGCCATTTCGATGCCCAGGGAATCCCTGCCCTCTGGCCCTTTGGCTTTGGTCTTTCGTATACACGATTCCAGCTGACCGACATTCGGGTCTGCGGTCGCGTGGAGGGACGTTCCCGGGAGTCTCAGCCTGCGTTGATCCAGGCGCGCGTCTGCAATGTCGGAGGCCGCGACGGGCAAGAGGTGGTCCAGGTATATGTAGCGCCATCAGCCCAGATCCGGGAGGCTGGGGAAATGAGCTTCCCCAAGACTCTGGCGGGCTTCTGTAAAATTGCTGTACCAGCGGGAGTGTCGCGCGAAGTGTCGATCCCCATCCGGGGGTCGGAGCTGAGCTGGTACGATGCTCGGGTGGCGCAGTGGCGATTGGATGCGGGCAAGTATGCCTGCTGGGTTGGTCGAAGTAGTAGCCAGATTGATGCGGAATTGAAAATTGAGGTGGCAGAGGGAGCCGACACAGACATGGGACTCTAGAGTAGTTATAGTTATCCGAAGTTAGAGTGAATGACAGGTATCTTACATCAACTGGACAAATGGCCCTTGTAGACAAGATGGATGTCTACCATTGGGTCTGCAGTGCTCGGAAGAATGAATTTCCGGCAGTATTTGACTACTACTTAAGCGGTTGCTAACGCGAACTAAGCTAATTCAACTAGTACTAATAGGCGGCATAGTAAGACCTGGTTCCCCCGTCCACAATCCCTCATCACTCTTTCTATCTAACATATAACTTCTACTACCAAAACCATAGCGTCGCTCCCATAGCATCTTGTTACCATCTATGGATCTTACCGCCCCCGTGGCCTGTTTGGGCTGCCGAGAAAAGCATCTCAAATGCGACGGCAATCTGACGGGCTGTGCTCGCTGCCAGTCCTTGGGGCTCACCTGCCGCTTCGTGCCCTCCCGTCGTGGTCGCAAGTGTCGCCCAGCAGCACCAGCAGCAGTTCCCCACGACACCACCAGTCTGCCCACTCCCAACTCCAGCTCCAATTCAATACCGGTGGATCCCATCTCCTTCTCAATAGGTCCCTTCGGGCAATGCCACACCCTGGAATACCCGCAGCATGCGGGCTCCATGGCTTGCGATCAAGGGCTGCAGCTGATCTCCCTATACTATCTCCACTTTCACCAAGCCCACCCGTTCCTGGCGCCCATGCAAGTTCTGCTCGAGTCGGAACCCCCCGCATTCCTGCTTGATATTATGGAGTTCATCAGCCTCCATTACTTGTCCCCGCAGCTGTTTCAGGACAGCAGCGAGTCCCTCGGTCTGGCCGTGCAGGCTGCGGAACTGACCATTGAGAAGGTGCAGGCCTTCCTGCTCCTTGCCATTGTGCATCACGGGCGACAGCAGGCCCCTGACGCCCGCTCATATCTGGGACAGGCCCTGCAGGGTGCACTGGACCTGGGCTTGCACCTTCGGGAGACCTCGGACGCCATCTGTGCGGATGCTCCCTTCCAGGCCGAGAGTCTGCGGCGCACCTGGTGGGAGATCGTTGTGATCGATGTGCTGCTGGCGGCTGTCCAGGTCGATGGGGTTTTGCAGTTCCACATGGAAGAAAACCCCACCACGCCTCTTCCTGGTGAGCTGGATCAGTATCAGGCTAGCGACGTCATCTCCGACCCCAACCCTTTTCCGTCCACCCTGGCGGATCTGGAACAAAATGCTCTGTTCTGCGGTGATGTGGAATTCTCCCCGGGGGCTTACCGCGTCGAGGCTGCGTTGATGCTTCGCAATTGCCTCCGAGCCGGCCAGACGCACGTCAGTGAGGAGAGACTAGACATACTGAACGCGGCCAACATTGCCTGGTTCCATCGACTGCCGCCACGCCAACGGTCCATGCTTCAGCTCAACGGGGTGCAGGATGAGCTGATGACACAAGCCATGATGTTGATGCACTGCGCCGCCATCTATTTACACTTCCCACGCTCCTGTCTGCTCGCATTCCTGCCCATCACAGGCCAGGTGATGTGCTCATCCCCGGCCTTATTCGTCACCAGTACCCTGGACCCTCAAGTGCACACCCACAGGGTTATCGAGGGGTCTGTTAGACTGTCTCAGCTAGCCGCCTTGTCCACCTCAGTCGTCGGCCATACTCCTTTCTTCGCCTGCACCCTGGTTCTCAGTTCCGTCATCCATGTTGCCGCCATGTTCAGCGAGAGCCTGCATAGGTCTGGGACAAGCCAGCAACAATATCTGGCGCTCAATCTTGGCGTTCTCAAGTCCATGGGTCAGACATGGCCCATTGCTGCCGCTGCCACGCAACGAGTGCGTCAAGCGATGATCGAGGTCCAGAACGCCGTTCCACGAAATGCTAATTCGTTGCTGGAGGGATTTAACCCGTCTGCCTGACACATAGCCATGTATTCAGTTAAGAGTTATCATGCCACGCCTAACAAAAAAGTGATCTTCTTTGATCTATAAGGTAGGTGACCTTGTGCTCCCGGTAAGCGTGCATTTCAACTTCTGAGCATCCTCCATTTACTACGCCTTTCCCAGTATGTTTGACAAGCTCCAGAGGGTTATATCATTCTGATTTTCTGCACAGATACCCGCGCTCAAACAATGTGCCCTTGGCGACCCCTTCTCCCGACCAATCGCCCCGCATCATTAAAAGGACCCGGTAGACTGGTTTCCAGCTATTTGGGCACATGTCGTGGTGAGAAATGGCTTCCGACCCAAATCGTTCCTAAATCAAGAAGTCTCCCAAGCAGACATAGTCCGCGCGTGTGGGATCATTCCGATAGGCGCCAAAGGCAAGGGCCAAGAAATCAGAACCTCGGGGACATGTTATGATGGGCAACCGAGTAGGCGATTAAGTGAGGGTCTCGAACGTGTGCTGGACTATTTTGTCGGAAAGGTTGTAGTCAGTGGTTCTATTCCGTCCTTGTTGCAGAGCTTCTGAATGCTCAAACGCAGTGGATACGTGTTGGCGTTGCTCGCCAACACGGGGTACAATGTTATATAAACGAAGCGGAGGATGATGAATCTGCAGGTGTGGTATCATTTTGTCAATCAGAGGAGTTTGTCCAAGGGTCCAAGCGCTGCCTGATAAGCCAGTCTCGTCGGCTCTACCGTCATCCCCGACACTTAAATGGATATAGGCAGATTAATTCAAGGGAAGAGCGCCATGTAGCCACCAGCCCATCTATCAAGGTAAATTCTTCAGAGACAATCGAGGAGATGCTTGAGGACAACAGACTTTCCGTTACCCGTAGCTCATAATCTGGCACTGGGTTTATGATGGCAAGGTAATCTAGCCCGTGCGCACACACATATGCCCATGGATTAAGATGAAGATCGTCCTCGACTGCATACGGGCTCCATCTTCGGCCCCACTGTTGGATCTGCACAAGACCCTGAAATGCAAGCTTAGCATACGGTGCCCGCGGGCTCCGTTGCGCCTAAGGCTTCCTCGGGATCTCATTCAACGGCATGCATGCAATTACTTCCCTCACAGATGAGAGGCAGCCAATGCCATGACGGTCTCCACCAGCCTTGCTGGTACCGCTAGCGGTCTTTCCAATTGAGCTGTGCCTCTCCACGTCCACACAATTCGGGATGTGGGGGAAATTGCAAGCAGCTGACAGCAAAATGGTACTCACCCTGGCCAAGCAATATACATTAGTGACTCCAAGAGGTCAGCGCTCATCACTTCTCGGTGAAGTTTAACACCGAGCCTTTACTCCTCATACACAGAGAGCGAAGTGATCCCATGTAGAGATCTCGGTGATTTTCTCACCAAAATACACCGAGATGTTTACGAGAGGTCAGCAGAACGACAGCCTGTAGGCTCTAGGGAGATTGGGAACCGAGAAGCCGTCGGACACGGTTGATTTGGGGGATAAATAGAGGCACGACACCAGTCCCAGAATGAGCATCATCAGCCATCTCTCATTCTGTCCTGTCTATAAGCTACTCTCATTCTGACCGCGCAAAATGGTCAACCTACTCTCTGCCTTCTTCCTCCAAGCTGGCTTTGCCCTCGCTGCGGCGGAGTACCTCAACTGGACTACGTACAGTGCCAATGGAGTTAACCTAGGCGGATGGCTTGAGCAAGAAAGCACTATCGATACTACTTGGTGGGCCGAATATTCCAAAGGCGCGGACGACGAATGGGGCCTTTGTGTAAACCAAGGCTCTCAGTGTGGTCCCGTTTTGGAGAGAAGATATGCGACCTATATCACAACCTCGGATATTGATAACTTAGCAAACGCCGGCGTGAACCTTTTGCGTATCCCCACCACGTACGCCTCTTGGGTCAAAGTGCCCGGGTCACAACTGTATTCAGGGAACCAGGTTTCGTTTCTGAACAACATTGCGACATACGCTATCACTAAGCATTCCATGCATGTCATCATTGATGTACACTCGTTACCCGGTGGAGTAAATGGTATGGCATTTGGAGAGGCAACGGGACATTATGGATGGTTCAACAACCAGACAGCGTTGAATTATTCTCTTCAGGCGATTGACTCCGTCATCAGCTATATTCAAAACTCGAACCATCCGGAGTCCTTTACCATTGCACCCATCAACGAACCTGTGGACAACACAGATATGTCAGCGTTTGGCAGTCCAGCAGCATTATCGGATGAAGGTGCAGCTTGGGTTCTGAAATATATTCAAGCAGTACTGGACAGGGTCGAGAAAGTCAATCCGAATATACCAGTTATGTTTCAGGGTAGCTTCCGAGGCGAAGAGTACTGGTCATCGAAATTCTCTTCATCCGCTAACCTGGTCTTCGATGTGCATAACTATTACTTTGCTGGCCGGGGAGCAACAGGCCAGAACATTACCACATACATCTGTGCCGATGCAGAGGATGGAGCGGGTGATGGCAAATTCCCTGTGTTTGTCGGCGAATGGTCAATCCAGGCACAGTATAACAACACCTTGGCTGACAGAGAGGAAGCTCTCAACACCGGACTTTATGCTTTCGCAAAATACTCTCGAGGAAGCGCCTATTGGACTGCTAAGTTTTCGGGGAATGCAACCGTCGACGGTCAAGGTACACAGGCGGACTACTGGAATTACATGACCTGGATCAATAACGACATGATTCATCCGGATAAAGCTTCTGAGGTGTGCGCATAGAAGAGTCCAGTTCGAGGAAAACTGCATATCCTGTGGCCCGTCGAACATATATCATTTTGCACATAAATTATCTCACTATTAGTGCGAGCATGAGGTCCGTGACGGTCGACTTCTCATGTGCTTAATATTGAACCAGCTTGTTGCGCACAATGTAAAGGCTTCATATAGTGGGATACTTAGCAAATAATGCTATAAAAGTATATCCCTCAGCAACTGCCTGACTTTTATCTTGTTCTGTGTCTGGTGTAGTCCATGATAAACGAGGCAATAGTATTTTTGTGGTCTAAAGTACACGGTACGGGTATCTCTAGGCTTTGCGAAAAGGATATCGATTGTAAAGGGCCATAATACATTTAGTCAACAAGTTCAGGGGTGGTAATTGATGCCATAACGTGTATAGAATCGCCAACTAGTGAACTAGTGGCCTAATTCATCGATGATGTGTTACTGAACCTTGCTGTTCTTCTATCTAGCACATCATCTCCCAGCAGACATGGTGTCATGTACCCTTAGGTTGTAAGTCCCTATTTCTTGTTTCTCTGGCGCTTGATGGTGCTTGCATTGGCAGCCTGGATCATAAGCTGCCGTTCCTGGTCCGATAAGCCATCAATGACCTCTTTGACTCCAATAAGCTCTCGACTCTCAACTCTTAATTCCCTCAGCACCGATTGGACCCGAAGCTACCCGGTTATCACATGATGGATGCCAAAGCACGACTTTCGAAGCGCATCAACAAACCCCATGCTGTTGTTTCATTATCGCCTCCGACTCCGACCTCAACAACCATGGACTGGGATCATCTTTCGGAGGAGTATAATGACAAGTTGTTTGCTGGCTAGCTACAATTGCTTTCCCAGCAGTCCCCTGCCTTGCCGTCGAGACTCGCAACCCAGAAGCGTCGTGGCACTGCATGGATAGCTGATGTCTCACATTTTACCACGGGCGCTTACAATATTTGCTGCATTGTTACCTTTGAGGATGGATTCCGTGCACTCGTTCGGTTCCCAATCCTAGGTAGAAGCCAATTTCGGACGGATAAGAGTCGAAATGAGGCTTCAGTGATGAAATTTCTATCTCAAAATACCGCGCTCCCTGTCCCCCGCATTCTTGGAATGGGCCGATGGGGATGTGGCCCTTACCTTGTCGTAACTTTCATTGAGGGAACGTTGTTGTCCAACCGCCTTGGGAACCCAACAATCCAGTCGCCAAGATTAAATCCAAATGTTTCCGACTCCGACATTCAAAGTGCCTATCGCGTGATGGCGCAAGTTATCTTGGAATTGTCTAAACCAATCTTTTTGTTTATTGGAGCTTTGGAAGAGGGTTCCCAGATGTGGACAGTAGCTCAAAGGCCACTGACCCTCAATATGAACGAACCGGTGCGCGTTGGAAATCTTCCTCCTGGCATATTTGCCGAAGGGACATTCAGTACCGCGGGCGAATATTTCGAGGAACTCGCGAGTCAGCAGCTTCTCCACCTTCAATACCAACGGAACGATGCTGTTAATGATGAGCAGAATTGTCATAAGAAAAACATAGCCCGCTGCCTTTCTAGGAAAATTGCCCGGGAGTATAAAAAGCAGTGGTCGGGTCCGTTCCATCTTTACTGCGAAGATTTGCGTCCATTCAATGTACTTGTTGCAGGACAAGACTTTCCACCCACTGGTGTTATTGATTGGGAATTCACTTACGTTGCGCCTGCCGAATTTACCTATACTGCACCCTGGTAGCTCCTCTTCGAGAGCCCCGAAGCTTGGGAGTCAGACTTGCATGTATTCTTGGCACGGTATACACCACGCTTGCATCTCTTCCTCAATGCACTCCGATCATGCGAGGACGAGATGATCCGAAAGGGTGCATTAATAGAGTATCAGCGACTTTCAGAACGCATGTCAGAGACTTTGAATAACGGGCTTTTTAGTTCTGCCTTGCTGCTAGGAAAAGCTACATGTTTGATGATATCTATTGGCAATTTCTTGACAAACGACATTTTGGACAGGGATCTCTTGAAGACGGGCTTTCGCTTTTGTCACAGGAGGAGTTGGACGGACTCAAGATGTTTGTTTCTTCGAAGATGCAACAAGCCCGTGAGAACCGCTTGGACGAACATATGTCGATTGACAAGCTTATTGATCTTTAATGCTAATCCCACTACTAGTCTTTCAATGCATGGAGCATATGTCACCTGTTATCCGATTGCTATATTCTACCGTGCTTTGGATCTTCAGGACCTCGGAAAGTTCTGCTGCGAATCTACGTTTACCCACCACAATATGCGGTGCCCCAAATTCTTCAACTTGATAAAAGCTATCATACAGACCTGTCATATAGGCTGCAACGGAAGTAAGATCCTGGTTATAGGTACTGCCATTAGGCGATGCGATTTGATACAACCTACTTTTAATACATGTTCAACATGAATAATATATGCTCTATGTAGTAATAGACTTTATACCCGCTGAGGTCCAGGAACATTGCGTAACTGCTGCTTTCACCAGCCGTTTTGAATGAGCCCTATATATGAATGTACTACCAACATGCTGTAGGCTAATTATCTACTATATAATAAACTAGTCAATGCCGTCGTCGATGATGTGAAACGGCAGATGCTGACGGGAGACCACCCGCACCATGGAGATGTAGGAGGGTTGAGATGGGAGTAGCACCCGGGTAGAAACTCGTCGGCATGGGAGGAATAGTGAAAGGGCTCGTTGATGGCAGATCAGAGGTAAAGTCAGCTGCCATTGTTGGCGCAGCATAGGACCTGTCTTGTTGTTAGTAATTCTGGGTTGAAATGAACTACGAGGTAGTCACGTACGGGGTGGCAGTTATAGTCTGTTTGCTGGTAAAAGTCTTTAAATCTGTTGTTCCCTTTGCACTAGAGAGACAGGCCCCATCTCCATAGGCATTTTCACACAGCCAGACCACATAGCTGGTGTCGTTGGCCCAGAGGTTCACGTTTTCGATGGTAATATCGTAGCATGGGACGTCAGAGTCACACTGTAGACGGATCACCGGTCGTGAGGCGCTAGCGGATTTCCCGTGCCAGTTCTATTTATTAAAACAAATTAGGAAGGATATTGTCAGAAATCTGGAATGGGACCATGCACTTACTCGGAATGTGAGGCTGGACACTTGAACTCCTACAGAACCTCGGTCGTCCCCCCAGGCCTCGTCTATGGCTAGCGGGTACGGACCGCCGTGAACTATGACATTCTCCCAGATGATATTTTTAACAAGTCCATCCCCATTGTTGCTTTTCAGGAAGCACGCATCTGCTCGATTCATGTAGAGATTGCGGTAGTGAATGTCAGAAATATTGGTGCCTGTGCCCAAGGAGCCAATGGCGGTCCCACCACTTAGGTTGCAGTAGATATTCTCGATCAGATAGTTGTGCGCCGGAGACTTGACAGTGACACATTCATCGCCGTTGCTCACTTCAATGTCATGGAACCACATGTTCTCTCCCCATACATCGATGGCATCCGTCGCTCCCACTGATGTTACGCCGCGGATCAAGATGTTATAAACCTCTCCACTGGAGACGGTATCAAAGACGATGTAGTAAGAGGGCGAGTCCACAAGTGCAAATCCATGCACCGAAAAATTGCTAACCTCTTGGATGCGCAGGAGCCTCTCGCCGTAGCTGTCATTTTGCAAATATTCGTACCCAAAGCCCTGAATGGCCCCGCGGGAGTTGCCGCTGAAGAATTCGAAGTCGTTACAGTCACGGATCAGAATCATCTGATACGATCCGCGGTGTCCGCGCATAATCACACCGTCAAGCTGAATTGCAGAGGACTGGCCGTGCTTGAGCTCGATATCCTCGGCCAGCGAGTAGTTACCAGGTGGGATGTAGACCAGCCCCCCCACAGAGCAATTTCCCCAGGCATCGAGCAGGGGCTGCGAAATATCCGTCTTACCATCTGCGAGAGCTCCGTAATCAATGATGTTGCAGGTTTGATTCCTGGCTTTAGTGCTGTAGTCCACTAGTGGACCAACGGGACCAGATAGTTGCGCCCGTGCCAGAGTGGCCGAGAACAGGATATATGGTAAAATGCTGGCTCGCATGATGACCTCTGACCATCAACAGACTATCATGAGCAGTGATGGTGATCTCTATATCCTCCACGAAATTCGGGATTGATTGATGGAAGCGTTCGGGGGAGCAAGTAGTACATAAGTAGACATACAATCAGGGGGCTGAAGCGCTCGCTGGTGACGATCGCACCCTAAATGTGAGGGCTGCGCGTCAAATTAATTAAGGGACAGCGCTATGGGCGGGCGATGACGAACCAAGTGGAGATTGGCGGGGAAAAGCAGGTAAGCGAGCCAAAACTTTCCGATTCAGTAAATGGACCCTGCTTTCGTAGCCGTCCCTCATCATATGTGCAAGGCCTGTCATGGTGGCCCCTGGAAACTCTATCCAGTGAAGAGGCCATCGTTACGCTTATTTAGTCTCCATTCATCCCACTGGCTCTAACATGACTAGCGGACGGCACGGGTCCTACGCGCAAGGGTATATGGATCAGACCACTCGTTATGTCTAACAACAGTATCAGACGTCGTAATACAATTGGAGCACAAGCACAGTTCCTAAATGACAGCATATACGATTTAGGTCACGATGGGATGACAAAGAAACGGCGCAGCAGGAAACAGTACACGAAAAGCTCCTCCAGCCACTGCTCAGCTTTTCCTAATCAGGTGATCACCTAGCGTTGTATTCCAAGTATATCTACTCCATATTCTCGTATTGTAAAAGGCTTCAGAAAGAAAAATCGCACCAAATGTTGGTATTGTTACCAATCAAGGGGATCTCAACTGGTGAAAATCATACGCATATCCGATTTCCAGTGGACAGGAAGCGAGGGAAGCATGACGGGGATGGAGCCCGTGATTGAACCCCAAACTTGAACATAACACCTGTATAATGCAGTAATGGTCGAGGACTTTGAGGCTTTTACTTCTTATATATATGGGAATAAGAGGGTGGACGTAATTTGGGAGTCTAGTGATCTTAAATATCTCTGTCGATAATATTCCTCGTTATCGTTGCCAACCAGACAGTTCCTCGGTCGTATGAATCGTTACTACAGAAGTACGATTGGCATGTGGGCCATTGCAGGTGAGAGGGGGGGAATCATGCTTCATATCCTCAAAACGGAAGATTGATCATCATTTCGTCAGACGGCCTCAATTTTCATAGATTCTACCCGCTTCTGGGTATTGCAGTATCGATCTCGAACGTGTGGAGACCCTGCACCAGTTTAGTAATGCTTACAACCATAGGGACTTGGAAGTAGAGCACGTTGAAAGGCCACGTTTATTTTCCAGTCGAATATGCATTGTTCACATTTCAAGGGACGTCCTTAGTATCCGAAATATTATGTCTATGATTGAGTCAAGAACAGAAGTACAGATTGAAGCTGGTTTCACCTGATCTTTGCTACTTGAATTTGATGAACGGATGGCATGGGTGCATCTTTACTAGTAAGTTCTCCTAACTTCATGTGGTTGTAGCAGCAGTGCACGATTATATATAATAGATAGTACGGTGAATATCAAGCTCGTAACTCAGGCCTTGAGACTGCGAGATCCTAGTCTAGTTATGATGGTGCATTATTCATAACAGTGCTGCTGAGCAAATACCAGCACCACATAATGAGTATCCCTAAGAGGAGAATCCCATGTTCAAGATGTCAAACCTAACCAATCTTTGCGTGGAGGATGGGAACTGCTAGTCACGTGATCTACTACCTGAGTCATGCAATCATAGGGCCGGCAATTGGATCGGCAGTCGCTTCCATTTGTAGTTCACGTCACGAGTCAGAGGAGTTCCATAAGTCTTCACCAAACGCCTCATCCTCTGGTAAGTTTTGATCTTCTTCAATATGACTTCATGAAAACATGTCGAACAAAGCAGGCTGGATCAAGAATCCCCAGGGGACAATTCAGATCGAGCCTGTAGAGCAATGGGGTCCTGGCCGTGGGGAACTGTTGGTACGGGTTGAAGCAGCCTGCTTTAACCCCATTGACGCCAAAATCCAGAGGTATCGTGCCCAAGTACCCGCCAGTCGGCCGTCAAACTAAGAATCCAGGTTGGATTTATTCCAATCTCAGTATCCCCTCATCCTCGGATTCACCTTTGCGGGAACGGTAGTCTCTACAGGGCCCGGGATAAATTCGGTGCAACCTGGCGACCGGGTGGTGGTGGCTCGCTGGGGCCAGCAGGCGGGCGAGGATCCCCGATTCGGTGCCCTCCAGATGTATGCACTGGCACTTGAGCAGAACACCCTGCGATTAGACCCCGAGACCACCTTTGCTGATTCCGCTGGTCTGATCGCCAATCTGGCGACCGTGATCTCCGCCCTCACAATCTACATGGGTCTTCCGAAGCCTCCAGTCGCCGGCACGAAACCACCCACGGGAAAGAAAATTCTCGTCTACGGCGGTTCATCAGCAGTGGGGAGCCTCGCGGTCCAATACGCGACGGATGCTGGATATGGAGTTGTTACTACCTCGTCCGCGGCCAACAGATCCATGGTGGAGAAACGCAACCCGACGCATATCATCGATCATAGCCGCCCCGACGAGGACGTGATCCGCGAAATCCGGGAGAATGGGCCTTACGAGGGAATCTTTGAAACAATTGGCTCCACCACAACAACCCAACGCATGGTGGCATTACTGCGCGAAACGGGAGGCCGGTTCTTTTCAACCAGCCCTTCCCCTGGGGATGAGGCCATCCCTGCAGGTATAGAAAAGCTGTGGGCCGGATATTCTGAGACACTCGTATCTCAGGCTGCACATCGCAAATTGCGCACATGGTACATGGACGCATATCTACCGGCTGCGCTGAAAAAGGGCTCGATATGGCCAAATCCGGCGTTGTGGCTCGAAGGAGGGCTTAACTCCGCCCAGAAGGCGTTAGACCTCCTCTATGAAGGTCATATTAGCGGCCGAAAGGTTTTTATCAACCCACAAGAGTGAGGAATCCGTCATTCCGGAGACCATGTAGCATCCTATACTCCGGGTTGATACACAGTACGACTCTGATGCGACAGTCGTTAGGAATTCGTGCCTTTGAATAGTAGATCATGGGCGGGACTCATATAAGAAGTCCTGATTATGTTGCGAGTAAACAGCAGAAATAACATCATTCGACAAGCTCGCCGAGAAGAAACCAGCCCTGGAAATTCCATTAAAAAATCAGGCCCGTACCTCATATACATATGAGATAGATGTGAAGTTGAAATGGCGGATTTGTCCAGACTGCGAAAATAGCTTGAAGGAATATTCGTCCGGATGAACAAGACACAGATCCAACATTGGATAATGAAACGCGACTTATTAGAAACCTTCTTCCGACCCAGCACATAACCAGCTACTTAGTACCGTGTTTAGCGACACCGGGCGCTCCTACCATGTTCGCCCAACGAAAGCCAGTATCTCAGTCAACAAGAAAACTTCAGACTGCTGAACAGAGCAGAAGATATGTAATACGCCAGATATTGGTGCGACGCACGTTTCCAACCGAATAATCAATATCATTAAGGGACCAGTTATCATTGGAATCAAGATGGCCGTTTCAGATCCCACTGACAATACAAATCACCAATTGACCACTCATATATTCTCATATATTCTACTACTAAACTACATCTAGCTTGCTGCAATGGCTTGTACGATAACTCATGGTAAGCTAACTGTATTTCGATCACTTGTCTGTCGTAGTACATCCTTTTATTTAGGTCAAAAGCTGCACGATCTCTTTCTGCCCCCGCCAAACCGCAAACCGCAAGGCCGTCCAACTCTTATTCCCGGATACCATGGAGACATCTGCGCCGGCGTCCAGCAAGAGTCGCACAATATCCGCGTGGCCACCTTCTGCCGCTGCTGCCAGCGCCGTGTAGCCATTGTACCGGCTCCCGGGAGCGTTCACATCCGCCCCGGCCGTCAAGAGCCGACGGACGGTGGTGCGGTGACCGTTCAAGGCCGCGCCCTGGAGCGCCGTAAGGCCATGGTATCTGCAGGGTGATGCATTCACATCCGCACCCACATGCATCAAAAACTCTACCATCTCATCATAGCCACCCAGCGCCGCGGCCTGCAGCGCGGTCCGACCCCGGTTGTTGGCGGGGGGCGCGTTGATTTCCGTAACAGGCTGCTGTTGTAACAGCCATTGTAAGATCGCAAGATGGCCTCCCTCCGCTGCGGCCTGCAGGGCGGTGCGCCCCACGTATTTGTGTGCTGGATGTTTGACGTTGGCGCCTGCGGCAACAACTAGATGGCGGACGATATGGAAGTGGCCGGTGCCTGCGGCGAGGGTAAGAGCGGTTCGGCCGCCGTTGTTGCCCCCAGGAGCATTCACATCGGCCCCGGCGGCTAAGAGTGCCTTGACCACGGCAAGATGACCGTTGAGCGAGGCCGCCTGGAGTGCAGTTTGGCCGTAGTAGCCTCTGGGGGGCTCGTTGGGGTTGCTCGCTGGCTGAGACAAAAGAAGCTTCACATCGGGTAGATTGCCCTGCGCGGCGGCCAGCTGAAGGGGGGTCCAGATTCCCTCCTCGTCTGGTTCGTCCAAGGAAGAAGGCAGTCTTCCGTGCACTAGACTTGAAACTTGTGAAAGAGTCATTAAGGGGCACAAGACGTCTCCGTTGTCAGGATATGCCCAGGGAGCAGATTCCTGCGAGGTCTGGCTTTACACAAACTAGTGCTTACGCGGTTATCACGGCATGTTAAACGAGCAGGTCAAGGCAAGGCTTGATTGCATCCCCGCCCCTGGAAGTTCATGGCTGATAAGCCCCAATATGCATGACCGCGTATTACGGATGTAACGGGCGGAGCATTGTATTAAACATGACTGATTACAGGGCACCGCCAGGAATCTCCTACCTCTGGCCCAGTCCAAATCTCCCGCAGCCCACAACAATTTCGATTTCCCCGTTATCAGCATCCTGATGCTGGAAGCCATGTTGATCTCTCCAAACAATTGTGACGCCAATAGCGATAAGGACATTGAATTGTCTCTCCGTCCGCTGGCTTGCTGAATGAAACGAAGACAAGGATTACATCGTCAACAGTAACAAGGATATTAAGCCTTCTTTGGAAATATGAAAATGCTCGTCTACTTTTCGAAGGCTTCCTCGAGTTTTCCCTGGCCGTGGCTCTGATAAGAAAAGCAGGGAATTCACGCAAAACGGATGTCGTCGACCAGAGAAGCTTCCGTCCAATGTGTAGGCATCACCTGGCCACCATCTATGATCACGCGATTTTCAAATGTCTTGTCTGTACTGATGCTAAAGCTCTGTGTTTGCCAGTCCCGCGAAAGCCCGTCATTTTGAAGAATACCGCTGGGCTTGGTTCTGAGCACGTCTATGATGATACTGAAATGATGTGGAACTAGACCAGGATGCAAGAGATTCATAAGAACTAGAATTCCCCGTTTCATACTGAGTAATCTTAGGTACATATTGTACACCCACAGAAATACTTTGATCTCACAATTGTGCGTTTATCTTCAAAGCTGGTCGCAGCTACATCACTATATCTGCGGAAGAAGAGGTTGAAGTTCTGCACCTTGCATAAAAATTGGACAACGTCTCCGAGAAATGTGTGCACTAAGGGCCATACTATGGTGATTTATCACCAGCAATATTGTCTTGTAAGCTTTCCTACCCGTGGTTCGAAGTTCAGATTTCGACTGATTCTCCCTGTAGTCTCTTTGATCATATCAACGGTCGGTTGCGCGTCCCATCTAGGTTCAACGTCTCAAAGTTCTTCTGTGTGCATCCCCTTCGTCATTCACCGCATTCGTCCCGGCAACATGTATAGAGAGCAACACTGCATGCGACTGCGGCGGATCCGTCGCCGAAGCCATCTCGTGTGACTGGAAGTTCGATGGACTAGCAATGGCCTTGGCTCCCACCTCACCACAGTGAGGATGAATTGGCCGAGGAATTTAATACCGTAGGCGACCGGCCCAACGGTACTTGGACCTACTACGTGAATAGCGAGTGCACCATCCCCATGGATGCAAGCGAGGTGGTGACGTTGGTGGACTGGCCGACGGCATTGGCACACATGAGTGTCCAATGGCACCCCCTGCACTGCATCTTCTACTGGCGCAAGTAGTTCGGCACGCAATTCAACGGGAAAGTTGGGGAGCCTCGATCGGACACGGAGCATCATAACAAGCATTGCTGAGAAATCTTCTTATCCCCAGGATCAGGGAACAAATCGGGGGCAGCGCTTGTGACCAACAGCGAGCAGGAGTGGACGCTCGTACCCTTGAGTATCGGGGTGGTAAAGCGGGGGGTTTGTTACGGTGCATACGTCCTCCGTACACCGGCGGATGCCCGACATTGCTATGTGAAATTAGGGACGGGGCTGTGCACGGTCCCTAAGATGGATATCTATTGTCGGACATTAATAGATGTATCTGACTTTCCAAACGTGGGGACTTATTTCAGAGTGTGCTACTCATCAGACTTCCTTTTCCATAATATTAGTTATACGGCGGTAATCTTGTGATGAGCTGGTGACCACTTAGCTTGTCTTTATCAGCTCGTCAATACTTCTATTTCACCCGCCTTCAACTTACGTGCCGCAACTCAAGCGCCAGCAGCTCCCGGGAAAACGTCTGGCTGCAGTGCAACACCAGCCATAACCTCGGTCTCGAGCATCAACTTCAATTCACGCGCCCCTGGTCTAGCTGTTTGGACTATTTTGGGGAGGAGTCCCGGGAGTAGCCGTGGCTTGTCCGGTTGGATGATCAATCTATGGTACCGTGGAATCTCGTTGATGAGAGCGAACTGAGGTACCTACAATGGTCTTAAGAACGGTATCCAGAGACAGAGCAGGCCCGGTGGAGCGGCGACTATCTCAACACTTCCTTCTGGGAGGATCCGTACGCGCTCCAGATCGCCACGGACGTCCTCTCCCACCCAGTGCATGCCTCCTGGCGCTGGGTCGGAATTGACGCGCCAGGGAGATCAGTCGGCATGTCTGTCCGCGTGATATCGATATTAATCACGTGAATCGTTGTTTGGATTCTCTGGACGCGGTGCTGTTTGTGGATGGTATTGCCAATAAGGGTTCTCTATTACCACAAGATGAGGATAATCGGATGCCGTGGTTGGTAAATACAAGTTTCTACACACAAGTTAGTTTTCTTAGAATACAATGGCTGGTATACTAATGCCCGTAGAGACTGGTCATATAGATACAGAAGACTGACCCACTGAGAGTGGTGCATCGCATAAGTGACCTACAACTTGCAATCCATTTGTTAGTAGAATCGCTTTATCACGTTCTGCTGTTCTGGTATAGAAAAGGGAGAAAGACGAAAACAAAATAAAATAGCATGAATCAAACGAGATTGAAATAAAACAAAATAAAAGAAACGAGATGAAATGAGAAAAAAGAAGAAGAGAAATCGGATATTACAGCTAGACAGACGAGGGAATTAGCGGTCCCAAAGTAAACGTCTGCCGGTGGGCTCAGTTGCTGTATTACTCAATGCAGACAGCAGTAGATACAATAACAGACAACGATATTAGACACTAAGATCATTCTTTCTCACCTGCCAAGAAAACCCGAGGTAGTTCTCTTCTGTATTTTGATCAGGGCGGTAACTACGTTATCGTTGATTGGGAGAAAGAAGCTATTCCATATCATTCAGTGCAACGTTCCCGAAGCCTCATGCGTGTTGTGACTGCCACGTTCCTCATTATTTCTAGGTCTACTCTGTCGCCTAAGTGCCCATATCCACTTCGCAAATAGTGCATTCTCACTTCCGCGTCCCCAGCACGAGGTTTGCCGTCCACTGGACCTGTAGCCGCCCGCTCGGACATTCTTCCTCAAATACCCGGTCCCAATCAGCGAGCAGGGCTTTCGCAGTTTCACCCTCGAGCTTGTGCTGTGCTGGCAAGACAGTGTTCAGATACGTAATGAGCCACTCCTTGTCCGTCTCGAACTCCCACCCCTCGGCCTCATCGTCGATACCAGTATTATATTTCACTTTCTCATCCTTGTCATCCACTCGACTGTAATCCTCCGGCCGAAACTCAGGGGGGAAGTACTTCGCAAACTGCGAGTAGTAGGGCATCCTGCAATCCTTGGCAGAGTTGATATACACCCGGACAGGATCCTCGAACAGATCTTCTGGCACTGGAAGTGAGTCTAGCAGTCCTTCACCAGCTCCCTGGCGCCGTGCCACGTGGTAGATCATTTCTTTCTGACTTGCCAGACCGCCATCCTGCTGTAGGTGCGGCATGAACACCTTTTCAAAGATAGACGCAAAGACGTCCTGAAAGTGTGCAGACTGCTGGGGAAATGTAGGTAGCCAATAGCTGAAAATTGCCATTGTTCCTCCCGGTCGAAGCATCTTCCCAATAGAGGCAATCAAGCCATCGGGGTCCATGAAATGTGCTGCAGTCGCACAAATCACCATGTCCACCTGACCTTCACCGGTATGGTGGTAAGATTCTTCACCTGTGCACTGCGAATATTCAAAGGCGGGTTGCAGGTCATGTTGCGCCGCCCATTTAGGAAGGAATACCCTCGCCTGGGATACGTTGCTTGGACTGGGATCGGAGAGATGGATGACTTGGAAGTCGGCCATGAAGTTAGTGGTGGCTATGCCTGAGCCACCGCCGATGTCAACCAGGCGCTCCCAGCGAGTATGGGGATGAACGCGTCGATAGGCATAGATAAGCGAAGTCAAAGATGATGGATACCGGGGACGACCCTGACGGTAGTATTCCCAGTCAATGGTTGCGAAGGCGGTCTTGGTGTGGGGGTCGATGGATGCCATAGTGTCAGCTTAGGCTGCCCTTGAATTGCTGATTGAGTGAGTGATTGGGTGAGTGAGTGAGTGGATGAACGATCTGAATTAGTTCTACACGAGGTTGTCCGATCTTTATAGAGCATACCGCTGCCTGGTAAATGATACAGTCTGTTGATAGATAACGGGAGCTCTGGTTCGAGGCCCTCGCGTGGGCTCGGAGTTACTTTTCGGAGGAATGTTTGGGAATCAGAACCCTAAAGCACCGGAATGTTGAGTATATGACAGGCATATAACGATAGTAAAAGGCCTACCAAGATGTACTACTACCGATCGAGGTAATGGATGAACAGCTCCTTTTGTTGGGCTCTGTGAAATAAGGTTTGATCTTCCAATACCAAGAGGTGCCTGCAAAGAGACGGAGATGATCATTACCGTTTCCCATTGTGATCATCAAAACCGAGCTTCTTGGCTGCGGTCCGCCCGTTTGCTCGGTCCAATTTTGAGCTCAATCTTAGGCTTTATCTTTTCCGGCTGGGCGCATTCTTTTATGTCGGAAGCTCACTGGTAGAGGAAGTAGTTGTTGAGATCTTCCATATTGCTTTTTCTGGCTCTTGATACAGTAGGTGACCGCTCAATCACGTATGGATGTGTGTGATAAAGCACCGTTTGGGCTTAGTGTTTATTTCAATAGGAAAAAGATGCTCAAAATAGTGGCTTCAGTATCAGAAAGCTGGCCAGTCGAACTAATGCCTTCACAAGTGATTTCATATAGAATTACATCATAGCAATGTCCGCTTTTCACCGGAAATGTTCACCTCGGGTGTCACACGCAGCGGGTTCGGAAGTTTATATATGACAGATGTCAAAATTAATTTACGCAACAACAGAAGTCCTAATTTAACAGTACATATCTCCACCCTATAGTAGAGTTACTGTAATCCGAGCGGATGGGATATCATGCGAAAAAATAGCTTCAAGTGTACCACCAGCACGGTCAACAACAGGATCGTCCATTTAATTGTGTCGCTGTCGAAGGTGGACGACCAGATCAAAATATATGAGTAGTAGTGATCATGGATCTGCAGAGCTAACACTTTCCACAGCCACTTATAGGAATCAGTATAAGCTAGCATACTTGTACTTTGCTGGCTACTAGTATCTCCCGATATCTTGTGAACCCAAATAAGGCAGCCCGCTGGCCAGCGTCTATCGGGCTATATGGGTTATTGAGCTGAATCATGCAGTCATCACGCAATGAACAGCAAGTGTGACAAGACATGCTAATCCTTGTCAGTGAAAGAGCTGAGGTATCAAGTGGGTTTTTATGACGCCCTTTTTTACGTCTCAATGAAGTTCTGCCAAAGTGGTCGGAGTATAGACAACGGGTATCCTTTGAACATTCCGCAGCGTTCTCCCATTTTCTTTAGGTCAGGTTTAGTTCAGATGTTCCAGCAAAGCCCAAAACCAATGTTAGACCATGTGTTCCACCTTCTCATCGGCCAAGCCTGCTGTCTGACAGCAAACAAATACTGGTTAGTCCCATATTATAGCCTGGCATAGTTAACTAATTACAATGTCATGCATGACTAAGCTGACCCATGCTCGAGGTGCTGCCTACTCAGCTCTTGGGTCTGAATTTATGGCGCCTCGATTAACAGAGTCGTAAAAAGCCCGACACCGCCAAAAGCTGTCAAGATGTAACGAAAAGTCTGCATTGCATCCTCATACGCATCACCGAATAGACGGCAGGAAACGAGGATGCCGATTGTGAGCCCTTGATCCTCGGCGGCTGGGGCGTTGGCCTGCATGGGGATGGGCGGTACAGTGAACAACGTCCCGATGCCAATACCTGCGATGATCTGGAAGCTCGTCGACCATAGTAGGGTCTCTAGGTGTATGGACTATACAACAGATACAAGTACAGAGCAGAGTGTACAGTGTGAGACAGTGACTGAAGCTTCCAATAAGTGCCGTCTGTGCTGTACGCGAGCGGAAGATACTGCATGGAAACACAGGAGATTGTGGCCGGGACTCAAAGATAGCGAAGGCAACGAGGATCAGGAACCCGAGCACCAAGGGTACTATGGTTGGCCACGAGGACCACGGGTACATATTCCCGGGCCAGCTCAGGGGCAAAGCGAAAATAGTGCAGCCAACCGCAAAAACGATGATCCTTACCCAATTAAGTAATACCATTTGCATGCGGAAGGATTCACTAATAGGCTTGAGACGCATGAAGGAATAGGCCAACACCACTGCAATAGCTATCACCGGCAGATTGATCCATCCAATCTACCGCCAGTCAACATTCTCGCTGAACACTGCCCCCAAGATGGGCCCCAGGATGCTTCCAGCAGCCATGGGTAGAGAAAGAAGACCAATATAGATGGCACGCTTCTGGAGAATGGTTATGTCCCCTACAATAACCTCACATAGTACATTCAGGCCTCCACCATCGATTCCCTGTAGGATCTGGCCTGATATCAACAAAGGCATGCTACGGACCATGGCGAAAAATTTAGAGCCAATAGCAAAGAGAAAGAAAGATGCATAAAGCGGAACCTTTCAACTGATAATTACGAACACACAATGACAACAGCAAGACTGAAGGAGATGCTGGCCTAGAATGCGGTAGGGTGTTGCCGGCAAGTTCACTGGTCATGGCCTAGGAGAACACAACATGAGTATAATGTTCCATGACCGTGTAAGGAAATGTGTTAGTAATCATCCAGAAAATAGTAACAGCCAGAGTAGTTGCGTCAAGTGAGACTAGGAAAACCATTAGCAGGAGAGCGACGGATGCCAGGTAGAAAGACCGAAACTTTCGGCGGCCATTTTGCACCTCCGTGGCCATGGGCGGAGACATATTGGATGGATCAAAACCATGTGATTTCTCTTGACCCTGATCTGATTGCCCTTTAGGTTCAAGAGCTGAAGTACTATTGTGGAATTCAGACATTGGGAACTGGGACATAGTGGGCGGGAAGGGCTGAATAACAAAATCGATATGGAGTACCGGGGGAGGTATGTACATTTCCTTCAACATAACCTGTATCTTAATAGTTAGATGAATTGCGATGGATTGCAGAATCATATTGCGGACCCAAGCCGGGCTTAGCACTGCGATTGGCCGAGCTGTGCAATGCTTATCACGAGCTAAGAAGCCTAGTACAAACCACGCATCGGTGTCCGGTTTATTTCCGTTGTCTAATTCCTGCCCTATATGACACATACGGCCCAGTCTTAGTTATTTCCCCTTCCGTCTTCCCGCGCTATGTCGAAGATCAGCTAGACGCATTGTTGCTACCTCCTCGGATTGTTGAATTTCAAAACGCGCGGCCTCTATTCTTTTTAATGCCTCTGCCATGCTGACAAGACGGTACTAATAGATTCTAATAAGACCCATGTTGGCTTTCTCAACCCAAGGGCACTACTAAAAGGGTCTATTGAAAAATCCCTGTATCTGCCAACACCAATGGAGTTGACTCATCTGTGCATGTTGCGATCTGATACCGAGTCAAGCTTGCCCCATTCACAGATTTTCCACTTGGGCCTTGGCGAATCGACTCATTCAATTGAAATTCTCTTTTTCTTATGAAAAAGGAAAGTACAAAGACGAGAAGGATTGCCATGAATGATGCCCAAGTAAGGTACCTGTCACCGGTCCTAGGACCCCTGCCGCCGCTGCTATCTCTGTTATATCCGGCACACCGAAGGCAAATGTTGTTAAAATCCTTTGTGATGGACGCATCTAGATGGAAATGTACTCATTTGTTAAGAAAATCGATAATTCTTAACTGCTAAATGCACTTGCGCACAGCCGTACAGACCTCCATGTTCTGGAGGTGGGGGCTGGGACAGGCGCGCGGGCCAGCAATCTCGCCTCGATGCATTTAGTTCTGCAGTCAAAATATTCCCCGCTAGCTAACTGATACGAATGTGAAGTGGCGTGGGAAATAACAGTGTTGGGAACGTCGAAGAGGGTGGGGGGAGCTAGAGGAGGCGGGATACGATCGTCAGTGTATGTAGCAGTACATATTGAATTCACCAACTATGAGAAAAACATTAATCGGTATTCTTTCAAATTGGTAGGCGTTGACGACACTTTCCTATGTTTGTTTGGTTCCAATGTGGGGAGAAATGCCTCAGATGAGGGGAATGAAATGTTACTTCAAGACATACTCCGAATTTGGATACTGAACACCACGACCCACGTCTCTGTTGAACACGATGCAGGAGGCCTAAATCTTGTTATATTGGTTAACCTACAATTGAGTTTTGTTCTGGTCCTCACGGACACGGTCGTTCTCCGGAACCTGTCAGTCTAAGCTATGAGGAAAGGCACATGAACGACATCGTATAAGTCTATTGTGTGTCAGGTGGTTACACTCCATATGCGCCCCGCAAGAAATGTCAAGTTCCAAGGAACGCAAGGAATTGAGGGCGGGGAGGCCGACAGGCTCGTAGAAGAAAAGGAACGGTACGTCCTCCCAAACGTAGACCCGCCTTAAAACTGGGTCTACCATGAACTAAGAACTGTATCTCACGATAGGCTCCGTCTTAGAGGGGCCCAGGCCTCGTATCAATTCCTGCATCAAAGGATTCAGGTTACTGGCTGTGGCCATGCGCATAGAAGACATACCATTTCTGACATCATCTCTTTTGCCGTGCCAATGAACCGAATTTGTCTGAGTCCCCACCACAATCATGCTCATGTCGCTCGTAGATGCGGTCAATAATGGTAATTGATATGGTAGATGAGTAACTCTGGCAAGCAAGATGGATTGGCACTCTTGGAGTAACAATGCAGACAATGCCGGCGAGCCTCTGATGTAATACTTAGACTGACATTCCTTGTCATACACCATTGTAATGCAGAACCAGCATCCGAGAGAAACATATGGGCCGAAACATACCATTCGGTGTCTGCTGGATTCAATGCTTGGCCAAAACCTACTTGTACGCGTTGCCCGTGCGGAACAGCCATGACCCTCGCACAGGCATGGCATGAGGACGCCACCCTTGATGCTATGGCAGAAGTTGGACTGGCTCAGAATCCTGCGTATATCCCGAGCCTGAGCGGGTAATTTAACCGGCCAGCAATATCTGCGCAAGGAGAAGAAGACCCAGGGCCCGGTGCGGAGATCCCGCTTGGCAAAGCGGGTACCACTGAGTGATACCCCTAATAACACCACCCTTACTACTCCAGAATATAGCCATTCATAGGTATCTGTGATAATATCTTGACAACATTCTGAGTTTAACTTAGCGTACAAATGGTTTTTGCTCCTTGAGCGTCTAATTAGACCTGTCCGACTTCATGCTCAGAGCATAGTGAGCCTACCATTGCGACATGATGTGTTTGTAGAATGGCCTAGAGCGACGTAGTCCTTCCTTTCCTGTATAGCCGGCACCCCGCCATTCAAAGTTTTCTCCTCACTTGTATTCATCCTCTAGGATCTACAGCGCTGACTACCCGTAGTCTAGAAGCTTCCAATATCACACTTCACGCAAAGTCCCATTGGAAAGGATCTAAGGCCTTTGCTGGGTTCCCAGCAACAGACCCCAGACTTATGAATCGCATTGTTCTCGGGAAGGGTTCCAACAAAGGCGGGCTGGGCGGGGTATACCCACACGAAGTTGTAATATAAGGTTTAAAGTTTTGCCGCCAGCAGATTCCAGACCGGAAATACGAAGCCGCTCTGAAGCATAATAGTTCAATGCAATAAGGCAGCAAGTGCTCTCTCTAGAGCATTGCTAGTAAACAACAGCTCCTCGCCCTACCAGCATCATCCCACTAAGACGAGTGTGAGTACAATTCCGAATTACATGTATATCTCGAATGTAAGCATCTTATCGAACACAGAATACAGTTGGTGGAGTTCGAGAAGTGATCAATAGTGTCGTTCATGATAAGGTTCTGGAAATCCATGGGGGTATCTTTGATCTTTCATAGATAGGATTTTGACAACCCATGGTTCGTACGCCGCACCTCACCTTATTCCTTGAAGCTTCTGACTTCGGAACTTTAATTTAGGATTCCGTTTTCATAACCCTAAATTTACATGTGTTGGTTCTAGATCTTCTAGCCTTCGGTGTTTATTGCTCGTCTCGAATGACTAGCTAGTCTCATACTATAAATACGAAGGAAGATCCTGTCTCAAATTGATATTCTTTTGCACACTACACAATATCCTCATAACAAGTATCTCTTTCGCCAGCTTCAACAATATCTGCTACCGAACATTAAGATGAAGGTCTTCTACACCCTCCTGCTTGCAGCCCTTGCTGGCTCCGTGACTGCTTCGCCTGTAGCAAACGGTGGATCGTACAAAGATGTTCAAGGTATACAAATACACCTTATTCAACATCCCTCTGTTCCGCTAACATTTCACCAGGTCATTATCATGATTATGATGATCATCAATGCACCAGGGTAGACCGCCAATGCAAGAAGTGGGACTCCCGGGAGTGCAAGTGTCTTGATAAAGATGGACACAATTACCGCCGGCAAACTGCAAGCATCACCACACCGCCAGCAGCGACAGATACCAACACGAATGCTAACGCAAACACCAATGCTAATACCAATGTTAACCAAAATACCAATGCTAATACTAATGCCAATACCAATACGAATGCCAACACCAACCAAGCAACCACTGCACCTTCTTCGACTACCACGGTTCCTACAACTACCTCAACTTCTACCTCGACTTCAGCATCAAGCCAGGCAACTAGTACCAGCACGAACAGCAACACCAATACCAACACCAACACTAACACCAATGTCAATGTCAACACCAATAACAACGTCAATACCAATATCAACAATATTAACAATGCTGCACCCGCTACAGGTGGCGGATCGACTGAAGGCGGCGTTGGCGGAGGAAGTGGCAATCCCTCTGATTATAGGTGCCACGGACAGTGGTGTCCTAACTACTTTCCAGGTTGTGAGACCTGGGACTGGGATCACTGCAGGTGTGGAGGCCGCTTCTGTATCAACTTCGACACCAACTGCCGTAATTGGGACTGGGACAGTTGTTCATGCAGATAACGGACACATAAGGTAGGGCATTTAATATGTTGGTGTTCAGTCATTACAGCTTGCTAAAAAATATTACTTACAACATAGATATCCGAAGGAAGTTTCTATGCTAGTTATTGAAGGAAAGGGTTTGTTTGTTTTGATGTCATTTCCACGGGGTCGAAAAAGGCAGCAACTTAGGACTATGACTTCATAACCTAAGCGTCTATGTGGTATTGGGTACAACACCCTGAACCGACCATGTTTGTTTCTTCCAAAAGTGTCACATAAGGGTTCAACACCCTTACTGGTTAACAAGCTTTACAATCTATTTAGGTCCTTAGGCAGAATGTCAATGAACAGGATTTTTGTTTCCAACTCATTATTGTCACAATAAGGTAGCTGGTCTACATTGGTAATGAAGTATAAGAGGCGAGCCATACCTAGTATTGGGTCACCGGCTCTATGTACAAGAAAGCTATTGTGATGGCATTGAAGCGAAGTGATTGGGGTATATGTTTTTTTTTGCTTTGTTTAATATATATTTGTAGTTTTAGGTATTTTGCCTACTTTTTTATTGTTCTTTATTGTTCATATATCTTCCCACACTGCTTTTTACATATTCAATATTCTGGTTTAAACATACCATATGAAATCTATTTAATTAGCTGTTATGTAATATCAAATATTATAATCATTTAATTTTTTCATTTTCTCATTTATATTAAATACAGCTATATTAACTAAGGCTACCAGTACTTTTTGTGACATATAGCGCGTCATTGTCGGGGTGATAGAATCCTACGTTGAATTCCATCGCTGAGTCGTCTTGTTCCTGGACTAAGTCAGGATCTAGTTCAGTGAATTGCTTGCGAAAGATTTTCATCCGAAGTAATTTCTCTTGCACTTTTGAGAAGCATGATTACATTCTCAAAAACTACCGGCATGAAATAAGCCATGGCACATTAGACTTGACACATTCAAGTTATACTGTGTCCTCAAATGCTTGTCTCGGACTAAAAGAAATAAAACTATATACGAGACATACAGGGACAATACAAAGGAAAAGACAACGAAGAACCAAAAAAGGAAACGAAAAGAACCAATCCATTCGATCCATCACTGGATATCTACAAATCATCATACTCTATACCCAGCGGCACATTTCAGGTAAAGCTATACCTTTGGTGTCGCGGCAACAAAGTCCAGATACTTTGAATTTGAGGGACATGCAGTAGTGATGCCTTCCTGCTGCTGCTGCCCTTTTCGGACTTGGCCAATCTTCCACCCTCGGAGCATAACCAGGCATAGCGCGGCGCCGATGTACATAAATCCCGTGAAGAGCTGCGTATGCAGAAATTCATGCCTTCCAGAGGTTCGCAGCTCGAGACCGATGGCTTCTCCGACTGTTATACTCGACCTGATTAGTATTTCGTTGTCTTTAGACATTTTGGTACTGAAGGACGTCGGGCAGAGAGGAAAGAGACGCTCACACGTTGCGGGGACCGAGCAGACCAGCCACATGATCGTCAATCCTGACTGCAGATCCTCTAAAGCGACAACCTCTGCTCCAAGAGGGCCGACAACCTGAGGCCAGATTCAGTTGGCAGTTAGCATCCACGTAGGGGGGAGAGCAGAAATAGTGAGCAAAGGAGGGACCAGGTACCGTCCAGAAAGTGCCGAAGAAGACACCTGCAAACAAGGCAAAGCATATCAAAGCAGCGTAAGTGCGAGCAAATGTCCAGAGAAACAGACAAAGCAAGCCACTGCTGAGAGTTGCGAAAGTAGCGATGTTGATGCGGCCGACGGCATCCGACATGAACCCCACCGCAGGGCGTCCCACCATTTGGCCAACATTCATGACCGCTGTGACAATTGAACCTTGACTCGAAGTCAACCCGACACTGCGCCCATACGTCGCCAATGAAAACCAGATGACCATGAACCCCATAACGCTGAAGAAGCTCCAGCCGAGGTACAACCACATCTCATACCGGATGCAGAGGCGGAAGTTGATATAAAACGAGCGGTTGGGTGCTGCTACCGCTTTGCGATCCCGGATTACAAGAAGACAGATCGCATTGACGACGAGCTGGCAGATAGCAAGGATACGATAAGACCATCCCAGGCCGAACCGCGCAAGCAGGGCATGCGTTGAGAGAGAGTAGATCAGGCCTCCTGTTCCGCTACCGCCTGTTGCAATGCCGGCTGCGAGACTGCGATGGCGATTGAACCATTGGGGAATTAGGTATGTCGTTGAGAGGTACTGCATTCCGAGGCCCCAGCCGAAGCAGACGCCTTGGCTTAGATAGAGTTGCCAGATTTGATTACTCCAAGAGGCGCCCAAAAAGGCAGCAGTTTCAAGCAAAACGCCCAGAGCCATGGTGGCTTTGAGGCCTATGCGGCGGTGGAGGACGGTGACTAACGGCGAGATGAACAGTGCCTGTGATGCGGAAAGTCCTCCGATAAAGGCATAATCGAGAGTGCGACTCCCGGGGAACGTAGACTGCGAGGTAAAGTAGGCGAGGAAGACGCCGTAGCTCTAGATGATGTTAGTGTGCTTGGGTGGGAACTATAAGGTGATGCTAACAGATAGAATCCCCCAGTGGTGAGCATTGTTCCAGAACACTGCTGCTACTATCACCCAAGCATACCTGCTGTCCACCTCAGAAGAGTTCATGCTGCAGTTGTTTTACATAGACCCCATGTCGGACCATTTGGAGCTACTGCGGGTTTTATTATTTCAAACCAGTCCCTACAGGACAAAGCATGCTTGGCGCATGACGAGTCTGATATCTAATCACAAAGGCATGTGGGATGTGGGATGCTGTGGGATGCATGCCATGACAAACAGCTTCTAGAATATGTGGAGAACAACGGCATAATGCCAAGCTTTATAGTGGGGCTTATGGAGGCGCGTTTATTGCTTCTGAGACAGTTAACTAAGCATATTGACATGAAAGAGATTATTCATCATGGTCTGATTTCATATTGTAAGGCACTTCCGGTGGGAGCAGAAGGGACTCTAGCTCCACCGATTGACCTGAAGGAAAATATAAATGAGCGAAAAGACCACTGTGCTAACTGACTAGCATCAAGAAACTCAACACAATAATCTTTTCTTCATCTCAAAGACATTACCCGCCAATTCAAGCTTCTTAAGCTTCATACCTCTCAATCAGACTCAGAATGGCCCCCTTTCAAGGTTCCGTCTCAGTCACCCACATCACCACCGCCACGGCGATCATCAACATCGACGGCATCCGCTTCCTTACCGACCCGGTCTTCTGCCCAGCTGGATCCGAATACATCTACGATGGATGGGCCAAAGCCGACTGGAATGAATGGGGCTTCAACAGCCGCCCTCCAACCTCAACTCTGCGTAGCTTCGAGGGACCAGCACTCCAGCTCTGTGACCTGCCTCCCATCGACGCCGTCCTCCTCAGCCATGAAGACCACGTCGACAACCTAGACCCCCTAGGCCGACAGCTGCTCGATGGCCGTCGCGTCTACACCACGCCAGACGGTGCCAAGAACTTGGCTCCACGACCCGGCGTCGTCGGCCTCCAACCCTGGCAGACGGTTGAAGCTTTCATCAGCGGCAAGCACTTCCGTATCACTGGCACGCCGTGCAAGCATTTCCCTGGTGGGGAGGTCACCGGTTTTATCGTTGAAAGTGATTCTTTTGGGGTTAATGATGATGGATTGCCGAATGTGGTGTATTTCTCTGGGGATACTGTTTGGATTGATGAGTTGGCGGAGATTAGGAAAAAGTGGCATGTTGCTGTGGCGGTACTGAATTTGGGGAACGCTTTGTTTGAGTCACCGAAGGGGATGTTACAGATTACGTTTGACGGGCATCAGGCAGCGCATTTGATGCGGACTCTTGGGGTGGATGTTATGGTGCCAATTCATTTCGAGTCGTGGGAGCATTTTACGGAGCATCAGGGCGATCTGAAGCGCGTTTTCGAGGAGGAGGGTATTCAGGCCAAAGTGTGTTGGCTGGTGCCTGGGGAGGAGAAGATGGTCGTATAGATTTAGTGCTGCATAGTAGTAGTGCTTTCTCATTGTGTGTATTGCAATTCACGTATAGACTGATAGGTTCATTGACCAACCTTTGTTGATTCGATCAGAATAGTCAATTTTGTTATACTAAAGAATGCCGGAGGATCCACAGTAATCAGGCGATTCACCCGATTCTCCACCACGTCTGCGGCTTATAAAGCGTCCTTTTCCTTCTCTTCCTTCTCCTAATCTTCTTTCCCTAGGCCTTTCGACCTTCATACCTAGGTGACTCCAGCAATGAAACGCAAGGATTCTAGATGGATATAAACTCAAATTATCCACGTACAACTTACTACAAATCCATTGTAAGTGAGGTGATTAAAAGAGAAAATGGCTATTAGCTTCATCAAGAGAGTTAGTTATACTCACAGAATCTATATATTCTGGTAGAACAACTGGGAAACTATTGCCCCCATCCTACTTCTCGCATTCCTGTCTGGCCTGAGTCAGTTTATTCCAAGGGGAGATTAACATTTTCGTCCGCCAATTCCTGCATAGGTGATAGATAGCAAGAGCACGCGGTGGAGAAGCCCTTCTAATAGCGAACCCACCACACTTCCTCAATCAATGGGCGACGGGGATGGGGAAAATAGCCATGCACCCATGCGCATAGACATACTACGGTGACAGCCAAGATATATTAAGGTAGCAACCACGTTGAGGGCAGGCTGACGCTAAGTTACTCTCTATCCGCACCAGGTACTCTAGATCTTGTGTCATGATCTCCACCTACAAGACAATAAAAGCCCGGAACGAGTCTTGGCTGTAAACAGCTGGCACAGAAAGACCAAAAGCAGGAAGACAAGGGTACCATCATGCCAGAGGGCGTTTCATATAATATTCTCAATTGCAGCTTCACGATACTGCAGACTCCTCTGATAACGCGATCCACGGTTGTGCCATCCATAGAGCCCGCTGATGTATCTTGCCCGTCCTGGAGGACCTTCCTGCAAGGCCTAGCATGTTTCCTATGCGCATCTGCATATTTGTGAAAATAACCTCTTTTTGAGATACTTGTATGTGCATGGTACATATTACGGAGACCAAAATCACGGATATGAAGTGTCCCACGCAGAAATATTTAGCAAGGGATAGTCGAATACACTACGACTGGCGGAACCGCTATAGGGGAGAAAGTGGTGATCGTAGGACATGGATTGGCGACACAGGAGAGAATACATGTGACCTTAGCAAATTGGTCAACTATGGATTGCAACCACTTTGAGAGGATCAGAGTGGACAGAAGATAGTAGTTCATGGCAAGTAGGTGTTGCTGGCTTCTCAGAATGTTACAGGCAGTTGTCAGGAAGAAGTGCACGTCTGATACTATTAGTATAAACAGTCATTTAGCAGATGAATGGCAGAACATGAAAGAACATATCAATTATGGTAGCAGTAAAGAATTTGAGCTTTAGGTACTACTAAGATTTGGTGTTTCACCTACTGCCAAGGTAGAAAATCAACTTCAAATTCCTCTGGCTCCGGACCATCAACGAAGTTTAGCATTTCTTTGAGTGGTTGCAGCTAACTGCCGCCGAACCCGATGCGATTTGGTGGGCTTGAGCAGTCTGATAGGCATGTCTTCAATGTCTTTTATCATCCCAAAGTTGAAGTCGTGGAATAGTCATGGAGCATGCCGTTTGTTCCGGGTCGAAAGGCTCCGGGATTTGTAATTGAGCGTAGAAACGGCCATACTCCACTCTCACGGCTGCTTCAAGTTGTCTTGGTGGAGTAGATTAGAACGCTTGGCCGTCAACCTGGGCGATTTACCACATAGCTCGGTCTAGTTATGAACATAAAATGGCTAGGTTACATAAATATCATTGAGGAAAGTGTGAGCGTTGCAGTCCAGAGGTAAATGTGTTTGTGCTGACGAGCGTAATGCCGAGGAAGATGGCAAGTGTGACATAGCCATGGCCGTTGAAGTAACTCCCGGCCACCCCTACCATACCGCCCTAGAATCATTGTACTGGGTGGCCGATGCGGCCGGCAGTTACGTTATAAATCAAAGTATTATTTGGCCAGTCAACACTGCTTTAACACTCAGAATGGAGAAGTAAATGACATACTAATGAACCCTTTTTAATAGAAGATATACCAATCTTAATAAGTAACCAATATATATCATCTAGGTATTTTTCTATTTTATACGGAGGTTTTGTATTTTCTAAACTCTTTATTTTCTGTAGAATGATTTTTACTGAAATACCGAAAAATACTTGGTATTTAGGTATTTTTGAATAGGCCAGTTGATTTTATCGAGCTTATAAATGGCCTTGGCAGTTATGTGGAGTGAGTATAGGTCAAAGGTTGATCGGGGGTCAGGCTAGATCCTAAGCTGCTATTAGCTCGGAAAGGGGGGGGTGGCGCTCCTTACTTTGACCCTTATCAATCAGCAGTCAGTTGGGTGACACGGGTTGCTCTATAAGTAGTGACTGAAGATGTCAGTTATACAGACAGGTACAGTCGTCACATCCTACTTATCCTCAAATCCCACTGAGAATATATCTTCACACAACTAACTACCATTCGTTCTATAACCTGATATTCCTAGACCGAATCATCACTCACCTTTTCTTAGAACTTAAAACGAGTGCTTAGTCTCGTTATATGATACGAGTTCCATCAGATTAGGAACCCAGAATCTGGTCTGGCCTTGACGGTCCTGTTGCTGAAAGCCAGAATTCGGCCAGTTGATTACAGCCACATCACTTAGAAACAGCAGGAACACAGATAACGTAGAGTATCCAAGACCGTTGGATCACTTGGGACAGAGAGTCTTTCAGAAATCGGACCTTGAGAGGTACAGCAGATCATCGAAGCAAACGGAGAAGACTGCCTTCAAAGATTGACTCTGTGCGTAAACATATAGTCAATCCAACCACCAGCCAAACAGTAAGTCATATGCGGATGCAAAAAACGCTGGGTACCATCGTTCGGGATATCCCGCCCGTGGTCAGACAGGTCTATGAGGTGCCCTTCATACCAGAGGAGATGGCGGCATATGATGCGTACTGGGATAAGACCAGAAGGGTTCTGACCCTGGACAACAGGGATCCCTTCGTCCCAAAATCCCGCTGGGTCGTGCAAAGCCCTACAGAAGTCAGTGCTACTAAGTAGTTCATGGTTAAGCTTCATCATGCTGGGAGCTTTATTCCCAGTAAAGGAACTGCGCGAAGAACATAGCATCTTGGTAGTCGGTAATATTATGGCCAAGTCATTCCGCGATTCCCGGGGCAGGTATCTACATTTGGCTATGCCAAAGACAAGAAATGTACTAGGCCTACTGGATCAAATATCGTCAAGTTTTATTCAAGGACTGTCAAGAGAGAGACACTGTGCACATTCATTCAAGGTGGGATATGAACCAGGTTCCATGGTTAGCTCGCCGTTCGTGGCAGGGCATGATAATTTCCAAGATTGGTTTCACTGCGGAGAGCACTCTAGATTGGACAAAAGGTTTGGCAAAGCAGTTTGTTCAACAGCATATTCGGCGTGCACTTGGTATAGAATCGATAGACAAATATATATCGTTGCGTGCTCAGTGCTTCATCTTCACTTGACCTGTATTCCCACTTACTAACTGAATATACTAAGTATTTCTAGGCGCTTATTTAGTAGGCGACATTATCCAACAAGAACTGTTTACGTCGAAAAGGATTACAACTTGTAGCTATTCATATATATATTCTCTTTCAAAACCACCACCTCTCCATCCCAGCCTCATCTAATAACCTCCCACACGACGATATCCAATTCTCCTCATCACGACCATCCAGCCGCATTCCACTGCGACATGCCTCCATCTGCAGCAAACGGGACATCTCCCGATCCGACTGGGCCTCCCACAAATGTCGACTATCCGGAGGCGGAAACTGCAAATCAGAAATACGCAGTATCTTTCTCCCTTCGCCCCCTTCCACGCTATCAACTTCACTTGCTAGTCGATCGCTGCCGCTCCCACACAGCCGACAAACCCTGTATAATGCTAAACCAAGCCGCTTAAGTTCCTCCATTCCGACCCAGATGCATGTAACAGACTGCATGGTATGATGATAACGTTCCATCATTTGCGGATAGTAGAATATTCGGTTGCGAAGGCAGGTACCCACCAGGAGGGAGAGGATGTGATGGTCCATTTTGGAGATGGTGAGGGTTAGGTCGAGGGGGCGTGGGATGGTGCAGATACCAGTGTTATCGTTGTTGGAAGTAGTGTTGTCAATGCTGTTGTGGTTTAGAACAAGGGAAAATATCAGATATAAAAGGATTGCTTGGTATGTGGCCACTGGACATCGGGATGCGGTCGCTTGCTCTACTATCGAGGTGTTGTTCTCCTTATCGAATGCTTCGGTGTAGAATGGAAGGGCATGTGTCCAATTTTCCTGGGATTTCCTTTAGGCTTTGTCCTTTTGAGTGAGTTTGTTGCTTGACAGGGGATAACCTACCCGCTGTGATAGTATGGCGGAGCCCAGTTTCCGATGTAGACCGATGGCCACCTCTCGAGCTGAAGGCTCGTCACTGACCCACAACCCAATCATGGAGACAGCCTGCAGGAGTAATAGTGGCTCGTCAGAGGGATTAAAAGTGGCTCGATGCAGGATGGGCCAAAGGGGGTGGAAATGGGCAAAATAGAGGTGAATATAAGGGGTGAAACGGGTGGTCGAGTCATGGTCTTCGACGCTGGGGAGGGCAGAGAAAGGAGAGGGTTGATCTTCCGGCGACTGCGATGTTTGTAATAAGTGAGTTGATTCTAATATTTGCACTTGCTGGTCTTGTCGTTGTCGAGGTCTTTGGCCGTCGTCATAGATACAGTGACGTGCCTGGGTGGAACAGCGACTGCAAGGAATGCCTCCATTGCAGCGGATTTTGGCCAGGCGACAGGGCCGGCAGGCTTGAGATACCCGGATTGGCTCGTCCGGACCGTGGTCAAGACGGATATGGCGACGAAGGGAGTCGCTTGAAGAAGGTCAGAGGATTGACTACGTATTCCTCTTACTCGAAATTAGTATATACGCACCTTCTAGAAAATGTGCGGGCGCAGAGCGGACACTCCCGGGCCAATGCGCCCGTATGCTGCCCTTCGTGGCGATTCCGGTGCTCTTTCCGCTGGAAGCTGGAGGTACAACCGGATATTCGGCATTTGAAACGATTCTGGACAGTACGTAATGACGACATTTTCTCTATCTCGAAATTTGAAGGTCACTTGTTTGAACAGAAGAATGTGGAGGGAATATCGAGGTGGTGCTCATCCCACCGGCTCCACAGACCCTTGTTTCTGGATCCCACCGGATCCCTCCGAGTGGCCATCTGAGTAAGCCTGAAAATTCTTCTTGACGCTTCTGTCTTTGAAAGCCGGTCCCACAACCCGTTTGTAATCTCGACAATGCATCCAACGTGGGGGCCATCTGCTAGGAATGTCCAGTCCTCCTCCTGAGAGGCGAGCGCGGCTTGCTTTAACGAATGACGCGGGCAATCAACGCTGTGGGTTCGCGGTTTAACCGAGATAACTACAGTAAAACACAGATATAAGCAATTAATTGAGACCAGCCCTCAAATTGCTTATAGTGAAGAATTGCCTATACTAAAACGTATGTAAAATCGCCTAAAACTGACCAGTTGACCAGAATCACGTGGTTTAGTGTAATTTACACGTACCAGCGTATACATCCTTGTATTTATGATATTCAATTGGTAACTTTATTATATAATTAGCTATTCAAACCCACCTTACTCTGATAAAAGCAAATTTGTATGGGAGGTAAGAAAAAAATAAGCAACTACCTAATATTGGAGTGTTAAGCAATTTTATATGTAAAATCAATTCAGACCGGTGATTTGGTTGCTTTAAAAGGAGGATTGCCTATATCGGATGTTGCTTATAACCGTGTTTTACTGTAAAGGCGAGATCGTCCACAAAAGGACTTGGCGTTGCAAAGTAGCACTTGCGGAATGAACGTTCATGTAGTCTAGAATCTAAATACTGCCACTCAAAATAGTCATACGGTCATACCCAGCACAGCGCTTGGAATCCTCCTGGCCCATCCCACCTTCCTCCCCCCACAACCCCCAACGTTTTCCAACCACTCGACCTAAACCCACTGATCCAAAGAATAGCCATTCCTATACGCCAACGCCGTCTGCGGCCCTTCCGCATCAATAACATACGCATACTCGCACCGATCATAGGATACTTTCGGTTGGTCATGGTAGAACGCATCATACTGAGCATCCAGAGCCTCAAGCAGGTTCTGCACCGATCCGTCCGGGTGGAGCACCTCCCACGGCTTAATGCAGGTCCGACCCTTGCAGGACTTTAGGACGAGCAACAAGGCATCAAGACGATCGATCACCGTCGGGATGTCGTAGCCCAGGATGGTGGCGTTCTTGGGCGAGACACGTGGGTGGAGGTTGTTAACTTGATAAGGGTCGGTCTGTGTTATTTTCGAGCTTTCATTAGGAAATGGTGGAAACGAAGGGTAGACTAAAAAAATAAAAATGCAAACGTACACTAAGATCGTAAAGCTCGTGCTCATTGTTGCACCACACTGAGTAGAAAAGGTTGTACTCTTGGCTGAGGATGCGGACGGCTTTGTAGGTGTTATTAGGGACGGTGGGTGTCCCTATTAGATTTCTGTTAGCGAGTCATCCGAGTAGTAAACTGAAGGAGCATACCCAAGTTCGACAGACCACCTTCAAGCATCGCCTGACCCCAGTACTCAACCGCCACATGCTCATGCAGCGTTCCCTTCACATCGGCAATGGGCATAGGTGTACCATCAAAGTCATCGCGCAGAGGTAGACTAGCCAAGGAGAATAGCGTGGGTGCGATGTCAATGTGGGTCGTAACAATATCCTGCTGCTGGCCCTCGGGGATTCCGGGCCCGCGGATGAAGAACGGCACGCGAATGTCTTCGTCGAAGGCGCAGGTCTTGCCCGGCGGCAACCGGTGCTGGCCAATATGGAATCCGTTGTCAGATGTGTAGATGATGTACGTGTTGTCAATTTCGGCGCTGGCTTCTAGACGGGCGATGAGGGAGTTCACCAGTTCGTCGACGCCCTGTAAGGCACGCAGACGCTGCCGGTAGTAGTGGTCGTTGTAGTCGACGACGGATTGGTTGCGATAGGGGAGGTCGTATATCCAACTAACGCCGGTAGGCTAGGTAAAATGTCAAATTTGGTTCTCATCACGGCCAATGCAACGATCGTAGGATACTCACTTCCTTGGGGTTAAAGTTTGCCGTGCGGGGTACCTTGGCCTCGGGAAACAGATGCTTGTGGCGTTCCTCTGGAATGGGCTCATCCATCCACAGCGGACCTTGCCCAGCACCAGAGGTTCCATTCATGTTCGAGTGGGGTGCGATGGGAGTCACAGTGAGAAAGAATGGGCGTTCACCGGTGAGAGCATCTTCCAAGAAGTCCATTGCCTTCTCAGTTAGGACCTCAGTCGTGTGACGGCCAAGGTAGCTAACAGGTAGGTCGTGGTTGCGCTGGTATGTCGCGTTCATGTAGTCGTAGGTGTAAGGGTCCAGTAAGAAGTCAGAGCCATTGAATCCCGCGGCATGGGGTTCGTCATAGTTGTCGATAGAGTGTGCATTCATCAATTTGCCCGTATAGTAAGTGTCATACCCAGCATTTTGCATCCATACGGGCAGGTAGTTGTCGTTGAACCCTTGGTTGATGAACTTCGGATATCCGCCTGTCACTCATTAGCATGTGAAATTAGGTGTTTGGTAAACAAACTGACCCCAAGGGGGATGCACGTCCGTCACGTTGGTGTTGTGGGCTTGTCGTCCTGTCAGAAGGCTAACACGAGACGGGCAGCACAGCGCGGTTGTAACAAAGTGGTTCACGAAGGACATTCCCTTGTCTTGCATATGCTTTGTAGTTAGAGGCATATGCGACATGGAGTCCAGCTTTAGATCCTGATCATCAGCCATGATGAAGAGGAAGTTCGGTGGTTTCGAGACCGATTGGGCTGTGGCCAGGCCTGCCTCGAGGGCCGCCATGAATCCACAGGTCAGACCCAAACTATTCGCGGGGACCTTCATATTCACGATTTGCAGATAAATTGGTTTTCGAGTGTTCCTGCAGCCGTGAGCTATTTAAGTTCGTTCGAGTGATTCTCGAACGTCATATCAAGCCCTGCCCTCTGAAGGGTTCTTCGCAGCCGTTCTTCGTAGTCGTTCTTCGCTGTATGCTTAGCCAAGAAAGACATCGCCGAATCCTGCGATCCTTCCCGACAGCCATTGCGAGCATCACTTCCAAGCGGCGGCAATAGGAAAAGGCATTAAGTGGGAAGAACATGAACTGAATCCCTCAGGCCAGTCTGTGGGCCACAGAGAGTAATACGAGGGCGCTAGGCAAGGTCAAGTGGAACCGTCCTCTTCACGATCAAGAAGACGTGATAGGATTGCTTCATCTCGTCTCTCGAGGGCCCCACTCCCCCAGGACTTCCAAGCTGGAGACTCAGGTTGAACATATTTGTCATCCCGGCGTGTCTTATGGAGGTCTATTAGTGACACAGTTTGGCCATGGAAATTTGCTGGCGTGGGGATGGCAGCGATACCTAGCATCTACCGAACAGGTGAACAGATTCGGTTGACTCCGGCTGTGAGACCCTCGCCTCCCATGCTTCTCACATGACCCTTATAACAGCTGTCATGTGACTTAATCTATCCCAATAATCTGTGCCCCCAAAGTATCTCTTTATGTTGCTGTTAGAGCGGGTCAGCTGACTCACTGCAATCCATCAGGCCACCGGAGCAACACACAGTCACAGATTATTAAAATAGACAAGATTATATAATCTAGTAGGGAAATCTTCACAATAGGACAATGGTCAAATGATGTCTGATAAGATTATAAATAATATTATTTAATAGAACTCTTTATAAGGAATACAGTAATATAACTTTTATTTTTTTAATTAATTATTCTGTGGAGCTATAAGTATCTAAAAATAAAAATATTTTTTTCTAAATATAATTAATATATATAACAGAAATTTAAATTAGATTAATACTCTTTTCTATAGATTTAAAGTCTAAATAAGTCTATTAAATATTATAAAAATAAATATTATAATAATAAGTATTACCCCAATAAGCATTATATAAAATAATATATTAATATTTTTATAATAAATCTTAAGAATCTTATATATTTTATAATCTAGAAAGTTTAAATTATATATACTTCTTATTTAATATTAAGGCATGATATTATTAATAAAATAATAAAATAAGCAAAAAATAAGTAAAATAAATAAATAAAAATATAAATTATAATAAAAAAATAAGTTATATTAATAGCTATCTAGATACTCTGGTAAAATAAAATAAAAGATTATTCATAGATAACCTGAGTATCTAGTATATAATTATATTTATTCTAATAATTATTTTAATATTTAATATTATTTATTTTATCTAGATTATATATTTTTGAAAAAATTTTTTATAAAATTACTATACTAAGTACCACATTTACCTTAGACTTTTTAAATATTTACTCAGGATATATTATTAGGATATATAACTATATTTACAAAAAATTTAAATTATAAATATATTTTAAATTCTGGATAAACTTATTTATCCTGCCTGCTAAATAATTTAATTTGAAAATATAAGAATTTTAATCATGCGGTTACATGTTAAAAGAAAATAATAATATTATAAAATATATTATTTATAATTTGTGTATTAATAATACTTTATAATTTATTAATATATTAATTGTGCTGTTCATGTTCATTCTATTAAGCTTATTAATAATAATTTTATTATTTATTATCTGTTATTATGTTTCTTTTAATCTACTTATGAGATTAGCAAGAAACTTTAATTTTATTTTATTTTTTAATTTTATTGGTCACACGGTCGGACTCTATTCTGTGGGTTATCTAGAAAAGTTATTTTTAATATTAGAAATTATTTCTTAGTTCTAAGAGTATATTATCTGTTAGATAAGAAAGAATAGCTGATGTTTAAACAGGGCCTTGGGATATCTAAGATTTTATATAAGTTAATTAATCAGCAGGCAGCTATGAGGCTGGGTAGCTGAGTCCTCTAGTAGGGACTTGTCCCATAACAAAAACTCTTCTAATAAATTAAATATCCGTAATCAAAATGATTTATTCCTGATTTCCTGGTTAAACTAAAAACAGCCAGCCTACTTTCTGGAAATTAATTATTATTTTAATTATGGTAATTATCTCCATAGCAAACCCTGTTTTATTAAAGTTATAGATATTATCTAATAAGATTCTATACTCTTATATAACTTCCTGGACCTGATTAAACTAGTCTTTTATAATCTTAGGATCCTCTATTTAAGCTTTTTAGTAATTATATTATCTAGTATAGCAGGCTCAGAGAATCTTATAATATTTAATAAAGCTGTAAGCCCAGTTAATACCTATCTCTTCAGAAATTATATAGTCTTGTTTAAATAGAATCAGATTAGGGTTTTATTTTAAGCAGCCGGGGGCTTGTATCTTACTTATCAAAAGATAAAATTTATTTAATAAGTAAATCTTTTTTATTTTTTAATAATTTTTAATATATATAGACCATATCTCTAGTAAAATTATATCCAGATAATTAAATATAAAAAATAATTCAAGTAATATCATAAACACCTGTTACCTGGCGGATACTGGTAATTTAACTTTTCTAAGTAATTTTAATAATTAAGAGAATCCTGCCTTCCTGTTCTACCTGTACTTTTAATGAGATAGGCGTTTTTGGTGGCATCTGTAGTGGCTGAATGGCTTCGGGTAGGAATTCGAGGTGGTGTTTTTGATGGGGTGGGCAGCCTAACTGTTGATTATATTATATAATTAAGGTTAACTAATTAGCTAGTTAACCAATACAGTTCAAGCAATGCTGAGTAATGCGAAACTTCGGAGGTTCTGAAACCGGTTCTGAGGGGGTCCGGGTGGACATCCGGGAGCCGGCAGGTTCAAAAGGTTCTAGAATATTGTTCTAGACCAAGCCATGTCTGTCATCAATGAATAACCAAGAATTCTATACAATTGAAAGATAAATTTTATATATATTACTGTTTCATGCATTAGTAGACCTGTCTACAAGACCTCAGTCATTACACACTAGACATTCAATTCAACTAACCACAATGGGCAACACTCTCTTTCCCGATGACCCAGACAAAGTCTCTGTCATCCGCTATCTCACCCCTGATATCATAACCTTCAGTCTCCCGTTTGCCCGATTCGGGATTGTCAAATTCGGCGCCAGAGCAACATTAGGTATGTTCCTTTAATTTTCCTACCCCTCCCTTTCTTCCCCCATTCCTCTCATCCTATAAGTCGATCTGTATATATACTGGGAGTGACATCAGTTGACAATGAGAGATTAGTCAAACTCCCCTCCGGAAACCTTCTTATCTTCTCGCCTACCCCCCTTACCCCCACCATCCGCTCCGTCATCGCCAAGACCGGCACTGGCCAGATCGGCTACATTGTCGCCCCAGATACCGAGCACCACCTCCATCTCTCGGCCTGGAAAACCGCCTACCCGGGCGCCCGCATCATTGCCCCAGAGGGGCTCCTCGAGAAACGTCAACGAACGCTCGGCAACGGGCCCGATACCTCGGCCGACTGCAACCCTGCCTTCGATTACATCTACACCGCCGCCAACAAGTATTCCTTGCAAGTATCCGACGACCCAGAGTTCCACGCTACCTTCGCAGTGGAGTACGTGCACAGCCACCCGAACCGAGAGATCGTGCTTCTACATAAGCCCTCCCGGTACCTGATACAGGCGGACCTAATGTTTAATTTGCCGGGAACAGAGCAGTACAGTCTGTCGGGTGAAAAGGCCGAGGACGGGTTGTGGAATCGGCTGGGGATGGGGTGGATGAAGGCACGGACGCCGGCGGAGCGGACAGCGCAGGCTCGATTTGTGTGGTATGTGCTGGCCGCGGGGGATCGTAAGAACTTTGGGGAGAGTATCCGCCGAATTTGGGGGTGGGACTTTGGAGGGATTGTGCCGTGTCACGGGGATGTTATTGAGGATGACCAGGAAGGGAAAGGGAGGGAGGTATTTGAGGGGGTGTTTGAGGGTTTTTTGAAAGGGTGAAGGAGCTTGTTGGTTAAGTAGATGCATTAAATTATTTTCTGTGTATACTAAATCTTGGGATGGTACACAATGTGAACCCAGCCTTAGTCTAGTAGGGAAATCTTCACAACGGGACAACAGTTAAATGATATCTGATAAGTTTAAGACTAGTAGTATTATTATAGCTTTAGCCGCTAAGTCAGAATCTGCATAGAATTGAATTTATTAGGGTTTTAGGGTTTTAGGGTTTTAGGGTTTTAGGGTTTAGGGTTTTAGGGTTTTAGGGTTTAGGGTTTAGGGTTTTAGG